GCCCCATAACATTTAATACAGTGTAACCAAATCCAAAAAATCATGAAACTTTAATGTAACACTATTTAGCAGATTGTCAATTTAACATTGGTATCTTTCTTTTGGAACTAATTGTCCTATGTTCATTTAACGTGTACTCAAAACTGGTTAAAGATAATGTTTTCATTTACAATAGCCACACTCTTCAGATTACTGAATCTTAGGATACATGTAATTGAAATCCTGAGAAATATTATTTTTTAGTTGAGTCTATTTTTAATATTTATCCAAATGTATTCTTTGTTATCAAAATATAACTATTAACTAGTTCTTAGAGGATGTAGATGTCATTTGCAGCAAAAAATCAGTTGTGGTAAAAGCAAAGATTGGGAGTCAAGACCTCAGTTCTAGTTCTGGCTCTGGCTCAAGTGACAAGTAATTCACCATACATCTCTGGACCATGGTTTCCTTTATTTATGAAATGTGGGTTAACCTATATTTCTAAGGTCCCTTCCAGCTATAAGATTCAATGATTTCTAATCAAAATACATGAATCTAATTAATTCCCCTCATACACTCACAAAAGTATAGTATAGCTTACCATAGTAGCTCTTCTCCTGGTCAGGAGGCTTCCATGATCATTTCTTCTGCCTGTAGTTTCTGCCTCAATTTTTTCTGAGCCATGAACCCAACAAGTCTTACCTTTGGAGTTTTGTAGATCTCTTGGTAAGTGGATTTTTTTTTAAATAAATGATAATGCTGTTCTTTCCTCTTAAAAGGATTGGTATAAAAAGATCTTTTCTTCTAGCTACTTATAACCCAACCTCTTATACCCTCAACTGCTTTTCATTAAGGAAGAAAATAACTTTTTGTTTCTCCCTTAATCCAGTGAATATGTCCTTCTCTATCAGAATCAAAATTTGTTTCCATTGTCATAGCAACCAGCTGCTGTTGCCATTTCTACCTTCTTTTCTATGTTTATTGGGAATGGTATGTTTCACAACTTCTCCATTTCACATCTGCCAAGTTCGACTTAATCCCAACTATGTTGGGTTCATTTACTGACTGAAGTAATGCTTCTATTTTTTTTCCACTCTCATGTCTATAGTTTAATTTCTGTAAGAATTACTTATTTAAAATACAATGGGGACTTGTTTCCTAAATCCAGGGAAGCACTAACTCACAAAATGGCCTTGTGCTAATAGAACTTTTTAATTAAAAAAAAACTGTTTAGTATATTTTTGTACAAGGCATATCCTGGAAAATTTTAAAGTTACAGCTGCATACTTTTTTCCATGCTTCCTCATTTATGATTGGTAGATTATCAGGTGTTATTTCTACTTTCAGAAAGCATGTTGCCTTTCCTTTAATAGGTTATATTTGAAGTAATTAGAGAGAGCAGTAGGGATAGGGAAAGGGACTGTACTTGTAATTTCATTGGTATAAGGAACTTCTAGGTGAAGAAACTCCCTCTACTTTCTTGGCAGCCTGTAATCTTAGAGAGTTTCCCAAAGTACTTGAGGTTAAGGGAGAGTTGCTCAAGATCCCATAGCCATTACATGTTAAAGGCAAGACTTGCCAGTTCTAAGACTGGCTCTCTATTCAGCATACCATGCTTCTTCCTCTCTCTTCAGAGATATTAGCTTTTATTATAAACCTTACTTTGCTCAGTATGAAAAACTCACTGCTTGTTAATTCCCAAAATCTCCCCTTGAATACCTCTTATAGATGAAAATCTTTCTTTCCACCTTCATCTGACTATACTCCCTGCCGTGCACACCCTACATTCCAGCCAGACTGAACTCAACATTTCATCTTCCACCTCTGCATTCACAGAGGCCATCTATACTTGTTCTTGTACAATTATTTGCTCATATTTCCACTTCTTAGAACTCAAATGCCACTTCCTCCATGGTGAATTCTTTAGTTCCCATCACCACCACCAGCCTAGTGTTCTCTCCTTTTTTTAGGTTACTTTATATTTACTTGCCTGGTTAAAAGATGAATCTTCCTCTCCTCTCCCCTACTCTTTGCAATTGAATATAGGCTTTTTGAGGACAGGGACTGTTTTGATTTTGTTTCTTTTTCCCTACCACCTAATGCTTAGCACATAGAAGGCACATAGCCAATGTTGAATTGAACTGACTGTTGAATGAGCAAGTCAAGTGGAGTGAAGTTAAACTTGAGTGGTTGGATTTGAAGCAAAGTAGAACTCATGGATTAAGAATATCTTTTTGGTTATACCCTTTGTTTTTATGGCTTCTTAGAGGAATATTACTAGTTGGAATTTGTAGTAAAGTATTGCTCATTTACCTTATAATGGTATGGAAGTGACCTTGGGTTTTCAGAGGCTTTGCCAGCAGAACTCACTAACAGATCTTGCCAGAATGGAGATGGGGTGTGAATCTTCCTTCTTCTCTTTTGGGAGAACCATTTCAGTAGAGTGGATAGATTCAGAAACTATATGGCTGAGAATTGATGAATGATGGAATGGTGAGGATGTCGGAGGCAGTGAGTACAAATGATTTTTTCCTTTGAGTTTGTTTGCAAAAGGGAAGAGTGATATAAGACAAAATAGTTTGAGGGGATGGTGGAGCAAGTGAATATTTTTAACAGGAATAGGGTGCTTGTGAGTACATTTGTAGGCATCCAGGATCCAAAAGATAGGGAGAGACTGAAGGTAAGAAAAAAAGACAATGATATTAGTTATCATATCATTGTTTACACATTATTATGTACATTATTAATTGTAGATTGATCTCCAGGAAGAGAAGAGGGTTGGGAAAATATGATTGGATTAATGTTGACTTTGATGGGAAGGACTACCTCTCTGAGACTATAGCAGAAAAGTTAGAGGTGGGTGAAAACATTGAGGGATTTCGAGGTGTGGTGTAGAGGATGAAGGGAACTCATTATGGATAGTCTCAACTTAATTCAGCCAAATAGGAATCAAGGTAATTTGCTGAGAGCAAGGGGGTGGATATGGGAGGAAGAGTTTGAGAAGATTTAGAACATCTGCTGTAGGGCCTGGGTTAGAAAGTCAATGAGGAAAAAATAAAAGAACTGCCACACAGAAATGCATGCCATGAATCAATGAGGTAACATGAAATTGTAGTGGAGCAGTTTAGGGGGTGGTAGACGGGATTGAGAAGACTATCAGGACATGCCCACTGGAAGGATCAGGGGATGAAGATTCAAGGGTGGAGGATGAAGTATAATCTCATTCATTAAATTTAAGTAGAATGCAAACTTCTTGAAGTTAAGGACTGTTTGGGGGAAGAAGGGTTTATCTGTATATCACTGTCTTAGCATTGTGCTTGGGCCATAATAGATACTTAATAAATGGTTATTGAATTGAATAAGGTTAAGATTATGAAAGGAGGAGAGTGAAACCAGAGCAGAGGTAATAAACTAAGAAAATATGGAGAGACTGAGGTACTGGCAATATATAGCTGGTGATACTGACATATCTCATGAATCCTCTGGATTAAAAATACTCTAACTTTATATTTCTTTTTTTTTTCAAGGGTAATCATAGGTGACATTTATGGAATAAAATAAGCATTTCTATAATATAGTATAATAAAAAAGATGATTGCACATGAAACTGCAAATCTGTTATGTACAACTTGCTATTCCTTTTAAATATATAATAAAAATATCATGTGAATTTCTTTTTGTCTTCCCCCCCACTCTAGAGATGGCTACCATTAGACACAAATGGGTGTGTGTGTATGTGTGTGTGTGTGTGTGTATATATATACACATACATATATGTATATGTAAAATCATTCTACACATACTTCTATTTATCAGTTCTTTCTATGGATGTAGGTAGCATCTTCTTTCAAATGTCCATTATAGTTAATTTTGGTATTTATAATAGTCAGAATTACTTACTCGTTCAAAGTTGTTCTTAAAACAATATTGCTGTTACTATATACAACGTTCTTTTGGTTCTGCTCATTTCACCCTTTATTATTTCATGCACATCTATCTATGTTTTTCTAAGATCATTGAGCTTATCATTTCTTATAGAACAGTAGTATTTCATCACAATCATATACCATAACTTATTTAGCCTTTCCCCAGTTGACAGACATCCCTACAATTTCCAGTTCTTTGCTACCACAAAGAGAGCTGCTATTAATATTTTAGAATGTATAGGTTCTCTTCCTTTTTTCCCCAATCATCTTTGGAAATAGACCTAGTAGTGGTATTTCTGGATCAAAGGATATAGGCAGTTTAATAACTCTGTGTATAATTCCAGATTGCTCTCCAGAATGGTTGGATCAGTTCACAGGTCCACCATCAATCATTTCAGCCAATCTGATAGGTGTAAAATAATGTCTTAAGGTTGTTTTAATTTTCTTTTCTTTAATCAATAATGATTTAGAGCAATTTTTTTTACATGACTATAAATTATTTTTATTTCTTCATCAGAAAACTGCCTGTTCATATCCTTTGACCATTTATCAATTGGACTCATATTTTTATACATTTGACAAAGTTCTTTATATATTTGAGATATGAGACCTTTATCTGGGAAACTGTCTATAAATTTTTTTTCTCAATTTTCTGCTTTTCTTCTGATCTTGGCTACATTTGTTTCATTTATACAAAACTTTTTTAATTTAACATAATTGAAATTATCCATTTTATATCTCACTCTGCTCTCTGTCTCTTGTTTATTCAAAAATTGTTCACCTATCCATAAGTCTGACAAGTAATATGTTCCATGTTCTTCAAATTTTCTTGTAATGTCTCTTTATATCTAGGTCATGTTTTCTAAGAAGCACAATAGATGTTCTTTGTTAAAATTGATCTAATGAGCAAGTTTATTTACAAATTTATTTTAATTAACTTCATGACTTATATGTATGAAAATTTGTGTTTTTTTAAATTACATTTTCTTCTTTGGAGCACAACTATTATCAAATTCTAAAAATTAAGTTTATATTCACAATTTATAGAAACAAATGACAAAACATAATACCAAAGATATTTCATTTCTATTTTAGAACTTCAAAACAGTAATCAGGAGTTGTCCAGTGAAATTGATAACTTAAAAGAACATCTTGAACACTATGCCAAGATTCAGGAACTGACAGATATGCTTCAGGAAAGTCACAGGTACATGATTGCTAGGAATGTATGATTTTAAGGCATTACTACTTATAAAATCATATGAGAGAGAGCATTTAGAGGTTTTATGGTATTGTGAAAAGAGCAGTGGATGAGGAGACCTGTATTCTCATCCTGGTCCTGGGACCTAACTGACTAGTTAATCTTACTTAACCTCTCTGAGCCTCAGTTTCTCATCTGTGAAATGAATCTCATCATTTAAAGTCCTTTCAGATCTACAACTCTGATGTCTTAAGTTCCTTTCAATTTTAACATGTAATATGAAGTGTGGTAGCAGAGGGTTGGGTGATGATTCAAGGGAGAGAAGGGCAATTGGATAACTTAGGGTAGGGAAGTGCAGTGACAGAAAGTTAAAGGAATGTCAGGAAGTCAAGGGGTAGGGGGGTTGAATTGTTTTTAATCCTACTGCATTTTCTACTTCCCTATATACGCACTCACAATTGTCCACTTACCTATATACCAGCACACTTACTGGAGAGTCATAAAGAAAACTGAGGTTCTTACGTAAGGGCACTGAAACTGGGGACTCACTCTCATGAATAGAAAGCTGTGAATATGAGGAATTTTCTAGATTATTCACACAGAGATTAAATAATTCCATTCCTATTGCTGATACTTGGAATGTTTTGCTGTTATTATTTCTTCAACCAGAAAAATGCTTGTTTATTCTTTTTGTTTCCTGCTCTTAAAATTATTCCAAATCCAGAATAAAGTATTTTTGCCAATCCTGTGGTGACTCAATTTTTAAAAATAGTTTTTAATGTGGAAATAATGAAAAGACTTGGGTTGTAGATTAGAAGAACAGCATGTCAGAGAAAAACTTAAGGCTCTGAAGAGGAGTTTGGCAAGAGGTATATTTTGGAGGTTAGATTGAGTGAAGTTTAGAATAGAAATGGGTAATAGGGACACACTGCTGAGGGATGGGACATTAAAGATCAGGGGGAAGAAATATTGGAAGAATTTCTCTGAGTTGGAAATAGTGCAGTTATATGCTTGTCTTTGGAGTATGCATGCCTTTTTTGCATGGTTGCTCTTACAAGTCTATGGTAGAAATTTTCTCCTTCCCTCTGCCCATCTTTCTTCCCCTTAGGCCAAAGGTAGGAATGCTGTTGTTAGAAGGCTTAACGAATTTGGAAGCAAGCTCTAGCATTCTCATCATTCCCTGCCTATAGTTGTAGTCCAGCTCACATCTGGAAGCCAGACCACCACTGTGTAGGAATTGAAGGTTAAAAGTGATTGATTTGTTTGTTGTAAAGAGAGGAGTGAGATTTTGTCAGATGAGAAATGACTGGGGTGAATAGGAAATGAAGTAAACCTGATGTGAAGGTTGTTTGTGAAATCACATAGATAGTATTGCTCAGGCATAAAGGACTTTTCCAAGAGCCATTTGATTCACCAGTTGATAATGAAAGGATGTGAATGGACAGTTTTCAGAGGAAGAAATCAGCTATCAATAATCATACAAAAAATGCTCTAAATTGCTAAAATTAGAGAAATGCAAATTAAAACAAATCTGAGATGCTACCTCAAACCCATTAAATTAGTTAAGATGACAGAAAAGGTAGATGATAAGTGCTGCAGGGGCTGTGGGAAAATAGTATGCTAATGAACTCTTGGCAGAGTTGTGACCTATTCCAACGATTCTGGAAAACAATTTGTAACTATACCTAAAAAGTTGTTAAACTATGCATACCCTTTGACCCAGCAATTCCATAACTAGGTTTAGACCCCAGAGAAATTAAAGAAAGAGGAAAAGGACCAATAAGTATAAAAATATTTATTGCAGCTCTTTTTGTGGTGGCAAAGAACTGAAAAAAAGAACTGAAAACTGAGGAGATGCCCAGCAGTTGGGAAATGGCTGTATTAGTTATGGTCCTAATATCTCTCCTGACCTCTAGTCTTGCATTGCCAACTCATGCTAGACATCTTGTCCTTGCTGAAATTGAAATTGGCATTATAAACTCAATACACCCATAATAAAATTCATTCTCTTTCCTTACCCCTCTTAAATTTGCCCCTCCTCCAGACTTTCCTATTTCTATTGAGGGCACTTACTTCCCAAGCACCTAGGTTCATAACCTTGGAGTTATCCTTGACTTTCCTCTTTGCCTTACACTCCATGTCCAGTCAGTTGTCAAGTTTTGTTAATTCTACCACCATAGTATCTCTTACATCCTTTAGCTCCTCTCCACTTAAATTGTCACTAGCCTAATTGAGGCCTAGACTCCTTAATTAGGCATATCAACTATATTGAGTCCATCTTCTACTTAGCAGCCTAAACTGCGAGCTCATAGATTTAGAGTAAGAAGTGACCTTAGAGGTCTTATAGTCCAGTCACCTCATTGAACAGGTAAGACAATTGAGAAGCAGAGAAGTTAAATGACTTGCCTAAGTTCATACATGTAATTAGTGGCAGAAACAGATTTCAAACCCAGGTGACCTGAATCCAAATACAGAACTTTTCACTATACCTGCCTTTTCACCTTCCTAAGATACAAATTTGACCATTTTACTTCCTTGCTCAAAAACTGTAACTCCTAATTGTGAGTAATATAAAATAGTGACTCATCTCTCTGGTTTTTAAGACCCTTCACAATCTGGTTCCAGTCTTTCTTTCTTGCCTTATTTCATCTTATTTTCTTTCATGTAGTCTATATTGTAACCAACCAGGAAAGCTAGTTACTTCTTGAAGCCTGGAATTCACTTGATCCTCATCTCTGCTTCTCAGAATCCTTGCCTTACTTAGAGGAATGCCATCTCTTCCATGGTGCCTTTTCTTATTTACCCCACCTCCAGCTGATAGTACTCTCTCCCTCCTTAAATGACCTTGTATTCATTTATCCATGTATATGTTGAATCCTGTGGCTGCTAGCACAGTACCTTTCCCCTAGATTTGTGTGGTTCCTTATAAAGAGAAGGCACTTCAGGTTGAATTGATTTTAATAAGATGTGACTATTAGTTCTATTGGTCTCTGGATGAATGAGTTTATTTTTGCAGAAATAATAATGTTGATCTGAGTGAAGTGGTTTTGTTCCTTTTATTTCATTTTTAAGACTCCATTAATGCATTGCTTCTGGAAAGCAAAATAATTAACTGAACTTTAATTTTTGAGGCATACTGAATGAAGATTTTCAGAAAGGATGGTAATTTTGAAATGTTTTAGAACTTCTGGATGTATTTTATGTATTTTAATTTTAAGCACATCACTTTAAAGAGAAAAAAAAACAAGTAATTTTTTCCTTTATTTTTCTTACAGTTCTTTGATTTCTACTAATGAACATCTTTTGCAAGAACTCACTCAGACCCGAATTCGACACAAGGCTGAAGTTGAGCAGTTACACTGGAGTTATAATGAGTTAAAAAAGACAATGTCTCAATTTCCTCTTAGCAACTCTGACCTTAGCAGTAGTTAATATTTATGGAATGTTGAAGAATATACTTTTAACTCTTCAGTCCATATTTTTGTACCTAAATTTTAAAATTATATTGAAACTGTTTTTACCTCTGATCTTTGTATTTCTTCATATTTAATTGTTTAGGAAAGATTTCATTAAGTTAGATTTATTTTCTGATTTTTGGAAATATTAATCTGGTGAGACTTAACTCTTATTTTAAAGTTTCTTAAATATCCCAGGGGAGTGAAAATGTAAGGTATTTTTCTTCTAGGGAAATCCAAATCCTAAGCATGTAAATATGAAGCAGGTATTGAAATTTTTTAAGATGCAGTGAGCATTAGTGCTTAAACAAATATTCAGAGATACTCTGTGAAGCCTTTTATTATCTGTTAACTAAAACTGCTAAATTGTTAAATAGTGATTGTTATATGATATAATAAGTATCTACAAGGGAAATTCACTTGTAGGTATTTTTTATTATGTAGTCCTGAAAATTATGTAGTCCTGAAAAAGTGATTCTTGTAAGTTTAATACTAACTTCTCATTGAGTTCCGTAATTTTCAATGTCATAAATGAGGGGCATTTTCACAGGAACAAAATTTGACTCAAAATATAATCAGAATCCACTTTAAAATTCAAGAAACAACCTATATTAAAAAGAAAATATTTTTCTAAATTAAAATCAAAATAAGTCAGAAAATGCAAATAAAAGTATATAGGCTGCCCCTGTTGGAAACTAAATGATCAAGTGAATTGAGTTTTCTTATAGCAAAAACATTGTATTTGGAGGTTGCATTCTTGACCAGGATCCTAGTCTCAGTAGTATTATTTTGAAAGCAAAGAGAACAACTATGATCCACTCTAATCATTTAAAAATTGTGTCATAGAATTTTACAACTGAAGTACCTGAAATCAATTAATTCAGTTTCCTTGTTTTATGACTGAGGAAATCAAGACCTATACAATTTAAGTGAATTCCTAAAATTATTGTGACAGAGCAGAGACTAGAACCCAGGTCTCCTGACATCTGGTTTATTGCTGTTTTCACTATTTCATGATTGCTCTCTTATCATGGTCCTATAAAATGGACATAAATGAGCTGCACAGTTTACAAAACGGGCCTCAGTATTCACGTGCTATACATGTAAACAGCAGATATACACAAAACAAAGGTCTACTTTATCATAAATTTGACCTCTCTAAAGCTAAGCTCGTTAGAATAAGCATTCACAACATTTAGGTAACAGTTTTTCTTGCCTTCTTAGAATTTTAAAAGCTCAAAATTTTTTAAGGCAAAATTGTTACCTAAATTTTAGTTAGTGCTTGTGGCCAGCATTTTATTTATGTTTTTTTTTTCTAATTTTAATCATGTATATATATTTATTTTTTTTGGACTTTTTTTTTTAAATACAGGCATTTAATAATATATACTAGAACAGAAGCATAAATCTGGAACACATTCTCCCACAAATATGTATAATCAAATGTAGGAAGGGCAGCCATACTGAGGGCTGACGCTCATGAAGAGCTGCACACAAAGGAAGCATGGGAGACAGGGTACAATTCATCCCTTCCACACTGAGGCCCACTTGCAGAGGTTTGCTCTACCCCATTACCTAATCCTCCTAGTAAAAGGCATATTAGATAAATCTTTCAAGTGTACTTTGACATGTCCCTCAAAACCTTCCCCCTAAGGATTTTCGCCATTCAAATGGTAAAAGAGGGAAGGCAAGAATAGAGGTAAGCAAAGAAGGCAAAGACATTAGCATCCAACCTCCAAAACCTAATTCCTATCTTTTTTTTTTTTAAACTATAAATGTTTATTACCATTTAAAATGTAGAATGATGTTCCAAGTGTGGAAACACACTGAAACCCTTCTGTTCTCCCCTTGTATCCCATTCCCTCTTTTTGGCTGCATATTGTTGTTGTCCAGTCATTTTAGTTGTGTCCAACTTTTCATGACCCCATTAGGGGTTTTGTTGGCAAAGATACTGGAGTGGTTTGCCATTTCCTTCTCCAGCTCATTTTACAGATGAGGAAACTGAGGCAAACAGGGTTAAGTGACTTGCCCAGGGCCACACAGCTACTACGTGTCTGAGGCCAGATTTACACTCAGGTCTTCCTGATTCCAAGCCCAGTACACTACCTAGTTGCCTGGCTACATATTACAAAATAATATTAGGACAATATTCGTCTGAAATCTCTTCCCATCTAAATGAGAAACTTTATCAGTGTCCTTATCAATTCCAAAACAGTGTCCTACACTAAAAACCCTTTACGTTTAGGCAGCTAAGTGGTTCAGTAGATAAGAGTGCTAAACCTAGAGTCAAAAGGACCTGAGTTCAAATCCAGCTATGTGACCCCTAGGCAAGTTACTGCTCAACCTCTGTCTGCCCTAATTCTCTCATCTGCAAAATTTTTTTTTTATTTATTTTTTTTTAGTTTTAGTTTTCAACATTTACTTCCACAAGATTTTGAGTTCCAAATTTTCACCCCATCTCACCCCTCCCCCCACCCCAAGATGGCATGCATTCTGAATACCCCTTCCCCTAGTCTGCTTTCCCTGCTATCTCTTCCCCCTTTCCCCTTTTATTTTCCTGTAGGGCAGGATAGATTTCTGTATCCCATTTCCCGTATTTCTTATTTCCCAGTTGCATGTGAAAACTTTTTTTTTAAACATGTGTTTTTTAAACTTTGGATTCCAAATTTTCTCCCTTCCTCCCTACCCACCCACCCTCATTGAAAAGGTAAGCAACTCAATATAGGTTATACATGTGCAGTTATGCAAAACACTTCCATAGTAGACATGTTATGAAAAACTAACTCTATTTCCCTTAATCCTATCCTGCCCCCCCCATTTATTCTGTTCTTTCTTTTGACCCTGTCCCTCCTCAGAAGTATTTGCTTCCGATTACCCCCTTTCCCAATCTGTCCTCCTCTCTATCATCCCCCTACTCTCTTGTCCCCTTCCCCTCCGATTTTCCTGTAGGGTAAGACAGATTTCCATACCCAATGAGTGTGTATGTTATACCATCCTTAAGTCAAATCCTGTGAAAATAAGATTCACTCATTTCTTCTCACCTTCCCCCAGTTCCCCTCCACTGTAAGAGCCTTTTCTTTTCTGTTTTTTTGTAAGATAATTTACCCCATTCTACCTTTCCCTTTCTCTTCCTCCTAGTATAATCCTCTCTCACCCCTTAATTTTATTCTCCAGATATGGCCCCTTCATCTTCAACTCACCCTGTGCCCTCTATCTATCCATCCATCCATCTATCTATCTATCTGTCTATCTATCTATATATATATACATACATACATATAATTTTTTCCCTCCAACTACCCTAATACTGACAAAGGTCTCATGAGTTACAAATATCATCTTTCCATGCAGGAATGTAAACAGTTCAACCTTAATAAGTCTCTTATGATTTCTCATTCCTGTTTACCTCTTCATGTTCCACTTGAGTCTTGTATTGGAAAGTCAAATTTTCTATTCAGCTCTGGTCTTTTCATCAAGAATGCTTGAAAGTCCTCTATTTCACTGAATGACCATTTTTTCCCCTGAAGAATTACACTCAGTTTTGCTGGGTAGGTGATTCTTGGTTGTAATCCTATCTCCTTTGCCCTCCGGAGTATTATATTCCATGCCCTTCAGTCCCTTAATATAGAAGCAGCTAAATCTTGTGTTATCCTGATTGTGTTTCCACAACACTTGAATTGTTTCTTTCTGGCTGCTTGTAATATTTTCTCCTTGACCTGGGAACTCTGGAATTTGGCTACAATATTCCTAAGAGTTTTCCTTTGGGGATCTCTTTCAGGAGGAGATCGGTGGATTCTTTCAATTTCTATTTTGCCCTCTGGTTCTAAAATATCAGGGCAGTTTTCCTCGATAATTTCTTGAAAGATGATATCTAGGCTCTTTTTTTGATCATGGCTTTCAGATAGTCCAATAATTTTTAAATTCTCTCTCCTGGATCTATTTTCCAGGTCAGTTGTTTTCCCAATGAGATATTTCACATTGTTTTCTAATTTTTCATTCTTTTGGATTTGTTTTACAGTGTCTTGATTTCTCATAAAGTCACTAGCTTCCAATCACTCTATTCTAATTTTTAAGAAGGTATTTTCTTCAGTAATCTTTTGAACTTCCTTTTCCATTTGTCCAATTTTGCTCTTTAAGGCATTCTTTTCTTCATTGGCTTTTTGGACCTCTTTTGCCATTTGGGTTAGGCTATTTTTTAAGGTGTTATTTTCTTCAGTATTTTTCTGGGTCTCCTTTAGCAAGCTGTTAACTTACTTTTCATGATTTTCTTGCATTACTCTCATTTCTCTTCCCAGTTTTTCCTCTATTTTTCTTACTTGCTTCTCAAAATCCCTTTTGAGGTCTTCCAAGGCCTGGGACTGATTCATATTTTTCTTGGAAGTTTTGGATGTAGGAGCTTTGACTTTGTTTTCTTCTTCTGGTTGTATGTTTTGATCTTCTTTGTCACCAAAGTAAGATAATATAGTCTGACTCTTTTTGTGTTGCTTGCTCATGATCCCAACCAGTTACTGGAGTTGTGAACTCTTTGTTACGGTAAGAGTCTGTTTCCAATGTGGAGAATGTACTGTCCCAATCTTTGGGGGTTTGTGCGGCTGCTTTCAGAGATACTTCTAGGGACCTTAAAAGTGTCAGTTTTTCCAAGGTGCTGTGATAAGGGGCGAGGTGTTTCCTCTACACCACCACCACAAGCTCCACCACGCCAGTGCTTCTCCTCACCTCAGGACCGCCCCTCAGAACTGTGACCCAGATCCAAGCATGGGCAAAGCAAGAGATTCCTGCCTCAGCCTTGGCAAAGAGATCCTTGCAATCCTCCTCTGATCAGCCACTGAATTCCCCCTCAGTCTGTGAGCCAGAAGCTCAGAAGCCAGCCGCTGCCCTCGGGGTGGCTGAGATCTAGCTTCTTCTCTCACTGCAGTAACAGACTTTTCCCACTGACCTTTTAAGTTGTCTTTGGCGTTCGTTCGTGGGTTGAGAAGT